TCTCTATAACTCACTCACCCAAAGGGTTATGATACCCCCATTGGGCAGTTGGTACAGATCTGCAGTAGACAATGCCATCTGTTTCTAGTACATGAACTGCACAGGGAGAAAAGCCTTAAGCATAAGAAGTCAACTCTCAGCCTCATGAACCTCGAAGATAAACCCTTGAAGACCAGCCCATTGTCTTGCCTCCCTAGTACCTCACACTTTCTCAGTGTGTTACTCGCTTTTCATTAAAATGCTGCTCTGTAAATCTAGTCATTAAGAAAAATGAAGAGGATGGTTGTGATTACAAAAACAGAAAATACCCAACTTAGAATGGGTGACATTTTCATGTTTCATCATCACCCTAGGACCTAACAACAGGTAGGAGTTCTTCATCTAAAAGAGTGAACTGCCCCTTTGATTCCTGGCCTTCTGACAACCCACGAGACCCCAGCAGACAGTCTCTCTCTGCATCCCTAGTGCACTATTGGCTGAGCTCTGATGGATTAGAAATGGTTTCCTGCAGCACAAATCCCAGGTTTCCTGCACAGAATTGGATAAAGTTAACTGAGCAGCTTGCCAGATTTTCACTTAATGAAGGCTTCCTGGTAATATTCTTTTCACCTAATTTTTAGATACTTAAAAAAAAGTTGTATTATGAGCAACCATGACATAAATCCAAAGCGATAAGAACAGTTCCCCTGGGAGCTTCCCTTTACCTCTTGTCCTACTGGAATGACACTGGGGAGCCATGCTGGCCTTGGAGAATCCATGTTTCCCTGTGAGTTGAAAAGGGTTTCTAGAACTCCAACTCCAAACTGGGTCTGCTGCAAATGGTGACAAGACATGAGTTTATATAGGATATCTGTGTTCCTATTTTCTCCAAGTGGAAACTGTGACTGATTAACATCCACGCCTTTGCTCTATGACAAATGATTACCTATTAGACTCTCTTAGGAGGTACTTCTTGGAAGAATGTTCAGACTTTCCTGGGGGGAAGTGGTGGAAATGGAAATAAATGAGGGATTAATTTGTTTGTCACCATCAGCTCTAAAGGCATTCTTCCAACTTACTGTCAGCATTTAATTTCAGTCAAATGGGAGAGTAATTTCTCACTGTTGGGAGAAATACTGTTGCCCAGATAGGAAGCCCATGGGCCATTGATGCTAACACACTCAAGCACATGGCAAAGGAAGACAACAGGAATCATATATTTTAGACAATTTTAATTTTTTCTATGTTGCACACATCAACTTTCTCACTATTTTCTGTGATTCAGAAGGCCAGCACAGAGCATATAATTCTTGTTCTCTATAAGCTAAAATGTTGCCACAGATGATGGGGCCAGAGAGCATGCTCAGAGTGGTCATCCTAGCCTATCAGAACATAGATTATACTTCTAAACTATATATATGTATATAATTATTTATTTAATTTTTATTAATTATTATTATTTTGTTTGCTATAGTGCACATACATTCACCAGAGAGAGAGGTGAGAGAGAGAAGAGAGAGAAGGAAAGTGAGAAAGCAAGCTGTCAGGTTCAGAACTCAGCCATGTGGGAGTCCAGCACCTTAACCACCATACCACCTGCTGGCCTCATCCTGAACTGTATTTGAACACTTACAGATTTTTCTTTTTTGCTACCAAAGAATTCATTCAAACCAACATCAAGAAAGAAAAATGACTTGGAAGAGAAAAATCATACATGTTATAAAGTGAAAGAGGAAGAGTCCTAGATCATTAAAGAACAGCAAATCAATGAATAAAATATCCTAAGTAAATTTTAAAAAAATTCACTGTTACTTAATATTACCATTTTAATTTAGTTTTTTTAAAAAGTCCTTTGGTATTTCTATGAAGCAAAGTAAAACTAGTATAGTCAAGATTCAGTATCATTTAATTTTCCTTAGTATTGGATACCCTTAAGTCTAACAATATAAGTCTTCAAAGAGTCTAGGAAAAACATTTAAACTTTAATTATGTGTCTTCTATAAATTCTTTTTTATTTTTTCTTTTCTTTTTGAGAGGTTTTTGCTACAGGGCGCATGTGCTTGCCAGGGAGGATGGCCACGCTGCAATCCCTTCTCCTCCATTCTCCTCTCAGGATCTTGGGCACGTGCGCATAGGCATCCGGCGTGAGTTTAAGCCACAGGGTCTGGGACTCGAACTGCAGTTGACTATGTGGGAGTCCAGCGACATAGCCATTACGCTAACTGCTGGTCCCTGTCTTCTATAAATTCTGAATTCTGAAGTTCAGTTGCATTAAATACCATGAAACTATGACCCACAGAGTAGCAATACTCTCCTATTGAAGGAACTTTGGTCCTATTTGATCATTACATAAATCTATTGCTAAATGCAAAAAGAAAAGCACATGTATTATCTTCTTTAAAAGTTGTAAAGAATTGTCATAATTCTCTGATGATGTTATTAATACGAGTAGCAGTAATAACAATAGCTAGCATTTATTAATATCCTGCAAAGTGACAGACAGATGAGAGAGAAAGAGGCTTACACAGGTTGGTGTATTCTTCGAGCAAGCCTCTACTGGGCTCTCTGCAGTCAGCTCACCAGCTGTGGAAGGTGGATTCTGACACAGACTCACTCAGCCTCAAGGAGCTTACCTGCCCCTGCCCAAGGTGGACTAATTACTTAGCTCTAACTGACTCAAAAGCAAATTTCTAATCCCACAAGTTAGAAATATGTTTCACTTACTAATGGAAATATCCTGAAGGTCTGGAACAAGTCTCAAATGTCTAGCAATGAAAATGCAACAGGATGAAAGATCAATCTGATATTCCACCCTGATGGCCCTGCGGGCAGTTTCCAAATGAAGGCAGCAGATAATGTAGCAAATAGGAAGCCTACGTTTCAAATATCCTTTCCTCACATCATTAAGAAAGGTTCCTGAAATCAGAAGCATTTTTCATTCAAGTACCTTAGCAGCTTCTAAAAACATCACTTTAGCTTCCTACTGAAATGGAGGCAAAGGTTAGGACCAGGAAGAGAGGAGGTGCTGCTCAAAGCTGCTTTGACTAACAAGTACCTGTGATGGAAACAAGGAGGTGGAGGTCAGCTCCTGGACAAATGAGCATTACTTTTGGCCAGGCTACTAACGTCTGAGTCTCTCTACAGTTTTAAGACAATGCTAGGGAGTTGGAGCCCCAGAAGCACCTGTCAGAGGGTCAGCTGAGAGAAGGACTGACTCACTGACAGGCAGCAGATCAACTTGCCAAGAGACCAGGAAATCCTAGAATGGGCGGAAGGCAAGATTGGGCGTGGAGAGGCCAATCCTGAGGGGAGAGTCAAGGAGAACAAAGGTCACATGCTTATAACAAATCATAATCGGTGCCTTGTATTTTGAAAGATGAATCCGTGGGGACTGGGCCTCAAATATTTCATTCTAGGATGGGAGGCACATTCAATAAACCACTTGGATCCACTGCTTTTGATGAATGTCATGATTAATATGCAGTCACACTAATGTGAAGGAGTCAACACCCCCTGCTTTGGATTGTGAGGCAAACTGGGAGTGCAGACTTCCTGTAATTAAATCTTTATTCTGTAAATATTATTCCAGTAATGATCCTTCCCTTTGATCCCACTGTTGACATTTACTCAAGTAGAGCATGCCACGCAGAATTGACAACATGCAATAATGATGCAGTAGATAATATAGACAACAAAATCAATTTAGTAGGTAGAAAATGGAGGCTTCCCTTTTCTGTACTTAGATAAATGATTTATTATATTTAGTATTTCTTATGGAGGGAGAAACAGTCAGTGCAACCAAAATGCATGCATCACATCAGAAATCATAACATTTATGTCCTGATGGAATAGTGTCATGGAGGGCATCCTAACCAGGGCAAAATAACGGACCCATTGATCTTAAAAGAATCCCCAGAGTCAAGGTATTTCATTCATTTATTTATTTAT